CCCAGCAAGGCTGAGATCTCCTTTGAGGACCGCAAGGACGGCTCCTGTGGTGTCTCCTACCTGGTGCAGGAGCCAGGTGAGGGGGAGCTGTACCCCAACACCCCCAACCACCCCTAACATGCCTCAGGGTGCTCAGCCTGAGCTGGGGCCACTGGACCCTCATATGAGGAGGGACCCTCGTGCAAATGTAGCCCAAATTAAGGATGTCCCCATGGGAGGATGTCCCCAAATGAAGGTGTCTCTGCACAGTGTCCCCAGGGGAGGGTGTCTCCATGAGTAGTGTCTCTGTGCATGCGTGTCCCCACATAAGAAGGTTCCCAAGCGAAGGTGTCCCTGTGTGGGGGCTCCCTGCCTGACTGTCCCCTGTCCCCCAGGTGACTACGAGGTGTCCATCAAGTTCAACGAGGAGCACATCCCTGACAGCCCCTTTATTGTCCCTGTCGCCTCCCACTCCGATGACGCCCGACGCCTCACTGTCACCAGCCTGCAGGTACTGGGGACAGCCCCTGTGAAACCCTGGGGCACCCCTGGGCTCACAGATGCCCCTTGGATCCCCAGGACACTCTTGGGCTGTTCTGAGCCCCAACTGCGCTCTTGGGATGCCCCACCTTTGGGTCTCCTGTTACACCCTTGGACCCTCTGGGGCCACTTCTCCCTCCCTCATGTCACCCATAGATCACCTTTATATCCCTCTGTGCCAGCCTTGGGACCCTCTCTGGTGCCAGTCTGACGTCCCTGGTGTCACATTGCACCCCTTGGTGCCCATGGTGCTCCCCCTGTCCCACTGCCCCCCCGCCATGTCCCCCCATTCCCTGGAGTGAACCAGCTGGCATCATTCACAATGTCCCCCTATCCCCCCGTCCCTGATGCCACTGTGGCCTGCCCACAGGAGACAGTGGCAGTGAACCAGCCAGCGTCCTTCGCGGTGCAGCTGAACGGGGCGCGCGGTGTCATCGACGCCAAAGTGCACACGCCTGCAGGGGTGGTGGAGGAGTGCTACGTGTCCGAGCTGGACAGCGGTGAGGGGACACGGGGACATTGCGGGGACCGTGGGGACAGCGGGTCTGCAGATGTGGGGTTGTGGGCACAGGGTGCAGGACATGGGGACATGTGATGTGGGGACATGGGGCTGAGAACATGAGGACATGGGGTATGGGGACAAAGTGACGTGATGGCATCCCCCAGACTAATACACACTGGAGTTCTTGCATGGGATGTGGAGATGCAGGGATGTGGGGACACGGAGCATGGGGACAGAGGACACAGGGGTATGGGGACATGTCTGTGTCCCCCTGATATGCACTGGGGTTCCTGCTGTGCAGGAACAGGGTGTGGGGACATGGGGACACTGGGACATGGTGACATGTCTGTGTCCCCCAGACCGGTACGCCCTGGGGTTCCTGCCGCGTGAGAACGGAGTGCACTCCATCGACCTGCGCTTCAATGGGCGCCACGTGCCCGGGAGCCCCTTCAACATCCGCGTGGGCGAGCAGAGCCAGGCCGGGGACCCTGGGCTCGTCACTGCCTTTGGGCCAGGCCTCGAGGGTGGCCGCACAGGTGACACTGCTGTGGAGACAGGGACAGGGCTGTGGGAGCGGGGTGGGGACAGAGACACAGCTGTGGTGGTGGCAGGAGAGACACGGCTGTGAAATGGTGATGGGGACAGAGCCACAAGGGAGATGTGGCCATGGGTGACGACCACAACAGCATCCTGGTGTTGCCCCCATGATGCCATCCCCATGTCCATGTCCCAGGGGTGCCCTCAGAGTTCCTGGTGCAGACAGCCAATGCGGGGGCAGGAGCACTGGCTGTCACCATTGATGGCCCCTCCAAAGTGGAGCTGGACTGTACAGAGGTCCCCGAGGGCCACCGCGTCACCTACACCCCGATGGCTCCTGGCAACTACCTCATCTCCATCAAGTATGGGGGCCCCCACCACATCGTGGGGAGCCCCTTCAAGGCCAAGGTCACTGGTATGAACAGGGGGGACATGGGGATGGGAAGGGACATGGGTATTGGGAGGGACATGGGGACAGAGAGGAACATGGAATTAGCGGGGACATGGGAACTGAAGGGGACATGGGAACCACTGGGGCCACATCATGGGCAGCCCCTTCAAGGCCAAGGTCACTGGTACAGATGGGGTGTGGGCAGACACGGGGATGGGGGGCATGGATAAGGGAGACTGGGAGTGGAGAACATGGGGGTCCCCAGTGTGGGGTGACGAGGGGTCAGTGATGGGCATGACGGAGGTTTGCAGGAAGGCCACCCTGCAGGACCAGGGTTACATGAGTGGGGGGGTCCTGGGGGTGACGTGGTGTAGGAGCCCCAGGATGACATGATGGGGGTCCCAGGGGAAGGGGGGTTGTCCCTGGAAGATGTCCCCCTGCACAGTGTGAGGGGGTGTCCCACGGTGGGGGCTGACCGTGACCCCCGGTACTCCCCAGGCCCACGGCTGTCGGGCGGGCACAGTCTGCACGAGACCTCGACAGTGCTGGTGGAGCCAGTGGTGAGGGCGGGCTCGCGGGGCCCCCCTGCCTTTGGGGGGGTCACCAAGGCCCCGTCGGATGCTGGGCAAGTCGTGGCCCGGGGGCCAGGGCTGGCAGCCGCCCGCCTGGGCCACAAGAACCACTTCACCGTGGACTGCAGCAAGGCCGGTGAGGACGCTGGGGGTCCAGGGGCTGGGGTGGCTGAGGGGGGACAGGGTTGGAAGGGCAGAGGGGGGCTCAGCACGGTGGTCCAGGGGCTCCTAGGGGAGTCCTGTGAGGGCTTGGAGGAGAGGCATGGGGTCTGCGGGGTGTTCAGGGAATTCCGGGGAGTCTTGAGAAAGGATGGGGCAGGTTAAAGGGGGCCTGGGGGTTCTGGGAGGGGATGGGGTGGGTAAGGGGGAGAGTCTGGTGGAGGGTCTGGGGCGCAAGGGGGGAGGCTTGGGGTGACCCCGGGGTCTCACACTCACGGTTCACCCTGCCCGCGTCCCCCCAGGCACAAACATGCTGCTGGTGGGGGTGCACGGCCCCAAGGCCCCGTGCGAGGAGGTGCACGTGAAGCACGAGGGGAACCGCGTGTACACGGTGACCTACAGCGTGCGGGAGCGCGGCGAGTACGTGCTGCTGCTGCGCTGGGGCGACCGCGACGTCCCGGGGAGCCCCTTCCGTGTCACTGCGGCCTGAGCCCCGAGCCGGGGCGGCGGGCTGGCAATAAAGCGCTGGGAGAGGAACAGTGTCCGAGTGATGGCCGGGACACTCGCAGCGTGGGGCTGGAGCGGGCCAGGCTCCAGGGGCACTCTGCAGGACACCAGCTCCAGGGCTGTCCTGAGCAAGACACCACAATTCTGGGGTGTGCAGAACAGCACAGAAGGGTTTGGGGGTGGCCCTGGGGGTCCGGGCCAGGATTGTGGGGCCCGGGGTGGGGGTCCAGAGCAGGACATCCTGGTCCTGGGGAGTGGGGGGCGATCCTGGGGGCTGCAGGATGGGATAATGAGGCCCCAGTGTGAGATGGTGGGGTCTGGAACAGAACACTGGAGGTGGCCTGGGAAGGTCTGGAGCAGAATGCCGAGTCCTGAGGGGGTCCAAGGGGATCCCATGGCAGAACAGCCCGGGGGTCTCGGGGGCTCCAAGGAGGTTCCATGTCGGAATAGCCCGGGGGTCTCGGGGGTCCAATGGGATTTCATGGCAGGACAGCCCGGGGGTCTTGGGGGGTCCAAGGGGACTCCATGGCAGGACAGCCCGGGGGTCCTGGGGGGTCCAAGGGGACTCCATGGCAGGACAGCCCGGGGGTCTCGGGGGGTCCAAGGGGGTTCCATGTCGGAACAGCCCGGGGGTCTCGGGGGGTCCAAGGGGGTTCCATGTCGGAACAGCCCGGGGTCTCGGGGGGTCCAAGGGGGTTCCATGTCGGAACAGCCCGGGGGTCTCGGGGGTCCAAGGGGGTTCCATGTCGGAACAGCCCGGGGGTCTCGGGGGTCCAAGGGGGTTCCATGTCGGAACAGCCCGGGGGTCTCGGGGGGTCCAAGGGGGTTCCATGTCGGAACAGCCCGGGGGTCTCGGGGGTCCAAGGGGGTTCCATGTCGGAACAGCCCGGGGGTCTCGGGGGTCCAAGGGGGTTCCATGTTGGAACAGCCCGGGGGTCTCGGGGGTCCAAGGGGATTCCATGGCAGGAACAGCCCGGGGGTCTCGGGGGGTCCAAGGGGATTCCATGGCAGGAACAGCCCGGGGGTCTCGGGGGGTCCAAGGGGGTTCCATGTCGGAACAGCCCGGGGGTCGCGGGGGTCCAAGGGGGTTACATGTCGGAACAGCGCGGGGGTCCAAGGGGGTTCCATGTCGGAACAGCCCGGGGTCTCGGGGGTCCAAGGGGGTTCCATGTCGGAACAGCCCGGGGGTCCAAGGGGGTTCCATGTCGGAACAGCCCGGGGGTCTCGGGGGGTCCAAGGAGGTTCCATGTCGGAACAGCCCGGGGGTCTCGGGGGTCCAAGGGGGTTCCATGTCGGAACAGCCCGGGGGTCTCGGGGGTCCAAGGGGGTTCCATGTCGGAACAGCCCGGGGGTCTCGGGGGTCCAAGGGGGTTCCATGTCGGAACAGCCCGGGGGTCCAAGGGGGTTCCATGTCGGAACAGCCCGGGGGTCTCGGGGGTCCAAGGGGGTTCCATGTCGGAACAGCCCGGGGGTCTCGGGGGTCCAAGGGGGTTCCATGTCGGAACAGCCCGGGGGTCTCGGGGGGTCCAAGGGGGTTCCATGTCGGAACAGCCCGGGGGTCTCGGGGGTCCTGGCCAGCGTGCTCAGGGCTGCCTGCGGGGCCCGTGCCGTCCGCTAGAGGGCGCTGGGCAGGGTAGCGCACGCGTCCCCTGAAGGGCACGGCGCAGTGCGCATGCGCACCCCGCGGGGCGGGGCCGGCGGGAGGGGGTGGGACGATGACACGGGAGGGGCGTGGCCAGCGGGGCGCGGCTCCTCCCACGGCGGTGGGCGGGGCCCGGCGGCGTTGCCGGGCAGCGGCGGGCGGGGCGCTCCGGGGGCGGCGGCGGCGGAACCCGGAAGCGGCGGCGGGGCCTGGTCGGTCCCGGCGGGTTCCGGGCGGTCCCGGCCGGTGCCGATCCCCACAGCCGCGCCCGGCGGCGCACCCCCAGCCCGCCGGCGCCCGGCAGCGGCTTTCCCGCGGTCCGTATCCCGGCGGATTTCGTTCCCAGCGGGCCCTGGGCATGGCGGGCCGCGGGAAGCTGATCGCGGTGATGGGCGATGAGGACACGGTGACCGGGTTTCTGCTGGGCGGCATCGGGGAGCTGGACAAGCATCGGCGGCCCAACTTCCTGGTGGTGGAGAAGGAAACCAGCCTGGCGGAGATCGAGGAGACGTTCCGGTGTGTGCGGGGGGGAAGGCGGCCCGAGGGCCCGAGGCGGGTCACTGAGGTTCGGGGTGTGAGGGGTCCTTGGGCGGCCTTGTCCGTCCCAGTGGCTCTCTGAGGGAATCCAGGCGGGTTCTGGGCTCTGGCGGGTCACGGAGTTCCAGGAGGGGAGGGAGAGGCTGGCAGGATCGGTCCGGGGTGCCGGGAGTGCCCAGGGGATCGGGGCCCGAGGAGCGTTCCCCCCGCTGGGGCGCCCAGGGCGGGCGCTCCGTGCCGCTCACTCTGCCCTTTCCCTTTCTCCCCTTGGCAGGGGTTTCCTGGCGCGGGAGGACGTGGGCATGATCCTGATCTCGCAGGCGCTGGCGGAGCAGATCCGGCCGGCGGTCGCGGCCCACGCCCGGGCGCTGCCCGCGGTGCTCGAGATCCCCTCCAAGGACCACCCCTACGACCCGGCCCGGGACTCGGTGCTGCGCCGCGCCCGCGGGCTCTTCGCGCCTGACGAGCTGCGATAAAGCCCCCTGGACCCCCGGCCCTCCCCGCACTCCCCCAGATCCCACGCTAAGTTCCCCCAGACAGTTCCCCGGTGCCCCCCGTGTGTGCAAGCCCCCGCGGCATGCCCGAACTGTCCCCTGCGCCCGTGGCCTCTCCGCACCCAGCCATGGGTGACGGGCACCCCAGACAATCCCCGCTATCTTCCCAGCGCCCCCAAACAGTCCTCCACCACTCCCCCGACTTCTTCACACTCGATGACTGTGGTAGCCCTCCCTGGTACCCCAAAACAGCCCCTGGCACCCACGGGGTCACAAGCCAGGCCTGGGGGTCTCCACCCCAGGGAAACCTACCCAGGGGCCATTGTGCCCCATGCCTGGGGGTCCCCACCCCAAGAAGTCCTCAGCCCATCCCAGGGTGCTGCTGGGGGGGTCCCTGGGGTTCCCAGGGTGTTCTTCGGGGGCTATGGTTGCCCCGTGGCACTGAGGATGACACAGGGAACCTGGTGTGTCACTGAAGGTGCCTGGGGTGCCACAGGGGCCCTGAGGGTGACCCGTGACCATGTCTCAGTCGTGTCCCGTGATGGGGAAGTGCCACCACCGTATCCTGCTGAATCCTGCCGGGTCCTGCCTGTAGGCAGGGAGGGACACCAGGGTCAGAGAAAGGAACACCTCAAGGACACTGGGAGTTGTCACTGTTGTGGTGACCTTGTCACCATTCCCCCAGCTCCTCTCCAGCCTCCTCAGCCCCAGCAGAACCTGGGGGGAAGGTTATTTATTGTTCTCTCCAGTGCCCAAGTGTCATTTTGTCCTCATGTGTCTCCCTGACCGTGTCCCCAACATGTGCTGACACCACTCATTGTCTGCTCTGCTCTGTGCTGTGGGTGATGGGACATGGTGGGGACAGAAATGGGGAGGATGTGGGGACATGCCACAGGGACATGCAGTGGGGCACGGGGACAGAGATGTGGAGGGCTCAGAGCACAGGAGCACTCTGAGACCCCCCATAACCCCCACCCTCGGGAGGACAGCAGGGGTGAGCCCCCCACGCCCCACAGGGCCTGAGGGCCATTGGTCTGAGGGTCCAGGGGCCCTGTGCACCCAGCCCTGTCCCCAGGTTTCTGTTCCCACCCTCCATGTCCCCGTGGCCCCCCACTCCTCAGCAGCCCCTGCTGTGCCCCTGCAGACACGGGTGACACCTGGAGGGGAGTTGAGGGGGAACTCGCCTTTCTGCAGGCTTGGGTGGTGGCCGTGCTGGGACAGGCAGTGGGGAGTGGGCAAGGGGGGGCACGGACACAGCTGTCACAGATGTCCCACACACTCACACAGGTGTCTCACACACATAGCACACACACACACACGGACACAGGTGTCACAGATGTCCCACACACTCACACAGGTGTCTCACATACATACACACACACACACACACGGACACAGCTGTCACAGATGTCCCACACACTCACACAGGTGTCTCACATACATACACACACACACACACACATTTATCACACACAGAACCCCAGGACAGTGAGAGTGGGAAGGGCCCTCTGGTGATGATCCAGCTCAACTCCTGCCCAGGCAGGGTCACCTGGAGCAGGTGACGCTTGTCCAGCTGGGTTAGGATGTCTCCATGGAGGGGACACCCTGCACCCTCCTGGGCAGCTGTCCCAGGGCTTGGCCTTTTTATGATGCAGGGAAGTTGTGCCTCATGGTGAGCTCAGGACCTGACTCCTCGTCCTGCTACTGGGCACCACGGGGCTGGGTCTGGCACCATCCCCGTAACCTGGGGAGGTCTGGGGTTGGTGGGATCCCCCTCAGATATTTGTATGGATTGGTGCAATCCCCTCAGGTAAGGGATTAATGTGGACGTGTGAGCAGCAGTCCAAAGCTCCACGTGGACTCAGGAGCCCTGGCAGCCCGTCAGACACAGAGGGGACATTGCCAGGAGCAGGGGAAGATTGAAATGGCTCCAGGTAGTGCAGGTGACCCAGAGCGTGGTGTTTGGGGCAGGCAAATGGGACATGGAGCAGCAGGACATGGCGTGGCAGCTCAAGCAGCAGGATTTGTTGGAGTGCACAGCCACCCTCCTGACTGGTGAGCTCCCTTCAGGTGGGTATTGGTTTTTTCCCTTGTCCAACTTGATTAGACCCAGCAGCAGTTCACACACTGACAAAAGGCATTGCTGGCAGGAGCAGGGAGAGGCAGACAGAGCTTGCCAGGAAGCACCAGGTTGCAGGGAGTGTGTGAGCCTACTGTTACTGCTGGAGGACAGTGGGAACAGCACTCCATGTGGTGTGAACAGGTGGAGATCTTACAGAGGAGGTGGGGAGGCTGAGGATTATCAAGGAATGCCAAGGAGAAACAGACTGGTGGAGTTGCATCCTATCATCCAGAAGAAAAACGCAGTGCGTGAAAGCTCAGTAAGAGTCAGAGTAGCCCTGACCCTCTTGCCATCAGGCAGGAAGAGACCTAAAAGCTGGGGAATGGAAACAGGTCCCTGCTTAGGGAGGTAGCAGAATTCCCTCCTGGCTTCCCTTGCCTTCCCAGGTGCCCTTACAGAACCGATACGAGGTCCTGGATTTTGAGGGTCAGACAGTTGAGAGAAGAAAGTCTACTTGGTGGGTCTCCCAGATCAGTGCAGTCAGTGAGACAGATCAGAACTACAGGTATTAAGGAAAGAAGAAGGGTAGTTGTAGGGGGTGATTTACTTCTGAGGGGGGCCGAGGACCCTGCATGCCAACCAGAGACATCCCACAGGGAAGCCTGCTGCCTCCTGAGGCACAGGCAGGGGACACTGCTGAGAGACTCCCTGCACTAATTCAGCCCCACCACTTGCTGCCCATTGCTCATTGTCCTGATGAGAAAAGTACCAGGGTAACAAAAAAGGACTTCAAGGCACTGGGTTGCCTGGTTGAAGGGACAAGAGCACAAGGTACAAGAGGTGGTGGTCTTGTTTCATTTGGTAGTAGGGATGAATGCCAAAATGAACGGGAAAACCCATGGGATCAAAAATTAGCTTAAAGACTGGTGCCATTGGTGGAATTTTGGGTTTTTTGAACATGAGGTGGTTTGTATAGCACCAGGCTGGAGATAGATGGGGTTCACCTCTAGAAGAGGCAAAAGGGTTTCAATCTGTGATTTGGCAGGGCTGATTGAGAGGGCTTTAAACAAGGTTTGAAGGGAGAGGGGGATGAGAGCACACTCACTAGAGATGAAGCTGGGGGCAGCAGGCCAGTGCTGGGGAGAAATTGATAGCACAGCTAAAGTGCATCTGTACCAATGCAGCAGCGTGGGCAACACAGGAGGAGCTGGAGGCCACGGTGCAGCAGCAAAGCTATGATGTAGTTGCTGTCATGGAACTGTGAGGAGATGACTCCATGACTGGAATGCTGCAATGGATGGCTCCAAGCTCTTCAGAAGGGACAGGCAAGGCATGAGAGGTGGTGTGATGACTCTGTACGTTCGGGAGGGTTTTGGCTGTCTGGAGCTTAGTGGCAGTGATGAAAAGGTCAACTGATTATAGGTGAGAATCAAGGGGAATGGAAGGCTGGCAAGGCAGATATCCTGGTGGGGGTCTGTTCTAGACCACCAACCAGGATGAAGAGGCAGATTAATTATTCTATAAAGTGCCGGCTGATGTTTGGTGGTTGCCAGTTCTTGTTCTTGTGGGAGTCTAACTTGATGGATGTCTGCTGGAAGCAACACAGTGGAGAGGAGACAGTCTGAGAGGTTCCTGAAATGTGTGGAAGAGAACTGACTCAGCAGCTGAGCAGCCCACCAAGGGTGGGGCCCCACTGGACCTGCTGTTTGCAGACTGAGGGGCTGCTGGAAGGTGTGGAGGTCGGAGCCATCTTGGGCACAGTGACCATGAAATTAAGGAGTTTTCAATCCTTGGTCAAGTAACAAGGTGCGTCAACAAAACCTCTGCCCTGGACTGTCAGAGGGTGAATTTCAGCCAGTTTGGAACACTGATTTGGACAGTCCCTTGGGAAGCAGCCCTTAAAAACAAAGGGTCCCAGGAAGGCTGGGCATGCATCAAGAAGGAAAACTTTAAGGTGCGGGAGCAGCCTGTCCCTGTGTGCCTGAAATGAGCTGGTGGGGAAGAAATTATCTCCCTGAACTTGGCATTGGTGAGGACACACCTCAAGTACTGTGTCCAGTTCTTAGCCCCTCTGTTCAAGAAGGATAGGGCTGGAGTCCAGAGAAGACAACATAGCTGGGAAGGCTCTAGAGGGTGAATCCTATGAGGAGCAGCGGAGGGAACTGGAGAGGCTCAGCCTGGAGAAAAGGAGGCTCAGGGGAAACCTCATTCTCCAAAACCCGGACAAGGGAGCCAGGGGAGGCTCAGCCTCCCAGGGAGCAAAGGACAGGACAAGAGGGAGCAGCCTCAACTTATGCCAGAAGAGGTTCAGGTTGGACTTCAAGAAAAAAATCTTCATGGAAAGGTGGTGGTCAGGCATTGGAAGGGGCTGCCCCATGGAGTCCCAGTCCTTGGAGGTGTCCAAGGAACAACTGAACGTAGCACTCAGTGGTCTGGTCTGGTTGACAAGGTGGGGAGACCAGGCATGGGTTGGACTCAATGGTCTGGGAGGGCTTCTCCAGTGTAATTGGTTCTGTGGTTCTGCGTGATTCTGTGATTTGAGATATTTATATGGATTGATGGAATCCACTCTCAGCCTTCTCCAGACTAAGCAGGCCAACCTCTGCAGTCTCTCCTCATCAACAGACATGCTCCAGACCCTGAATCATTTTTGTGGTCTCCTTGACCCTCCAGCAGCTCCTTGTCTTTCCTGAGTTGTGGAGCCCAGAGCAGCCTCACGTGGGCAGGGCAGAGGGGCAGGATCGCTCCCCCTGCCCTGCTGGCCACACGTTGTCCAACACCTCTGTGATGTCCCACCCAAAGGGAAAGGGAGAACCTGGGATCACAGATGCGCAGGGAGAATTTAATATCTTTGTCAATGACAAGGATGAAGGGAGGGAGCACCCTCAGCAGGTTTGCAGGTGACACCATGCTGAGTGGGGCAGGTTGCCCCTTGAGGGACCTGGACAGGCCCAAGGGGTGGCCTGTGGGAGCCTCATGAGGTTTGACAAGACCAAGTGCAGATGCTGCGCCTGGGACAACCTTTGGAATCCATCCAGGCTTGGAATGAGCAGATGGAGGAGCCCTGGGAGAAGGATTTGGGTGTGCTGGTGGATGAGGGGCTGGACATGACCCAGCCTAAAACCCTCCTGTCCTGGGCTCATCCTATAGCATGGGCAGCCTGGGATTCTCTTGGATTGTGCTGTGTGAGGGAGATCAGGCATGCTGACTGCCTTCCACCCAGAGAGCAGCAACTGTATTTTGCCCTATAATTTCATACTGTTATCTTTTTACCCTCAGCCATCCTCCCACAAAATCCTTCAAGAAATTATAGAGGAAAAAAAATGTAAACTTTCATTTCTCCAGGTATTTAATCAAAGTCAGATGCCTTCCTGAAATGGATGCAAATAAACATATGTAAAAGGTGAATGTAGGTGAATTAGCAGAGCACTGCTGTTTTGCAGTAAGGATCACCACATTTAAAATATTCATTCAGGGTGGGAAGAAGGGTTGACAGGCTGAGAGAGTTGTGGCTGGTCAGCCTGGAGAACAGAAGGTTCCAGGGAGACTTTGGTGCCCCTTCCAGTACTTCAGGGGGCTTAGAAAAACTCTGGAGGGGTACTTTGGACAAGAGCGTGCAGCGATAGGACACAAGAAAAATGGCCTTAAGCTGAAGGTGGGCAGAGTTAGATTAGGCATTAGGAAGGAATTCCTGACTGTGAGGGTGGGCAGGCCTGGCACAGGGTGCCCGGAGCAGCTGTGGCTGCACCTGTATCCCTGGCAGTGCCCAAGGCCAGGCTGGACAGGGCTTGGAGCAACCTGGAATAGTGGATGGTGTCCCTGCCCATGATTGGGGTGGCACTGGGTGGTCATTAAAGTCCCTTCCACCCAGACCATTCCATATCTCTATGACTCTGTGCTGCCCCTCCCTGCCATGCCCAGCACTCAGAACTGTCCCCTTTGTGACAGCATCCCTGGCCCGGGCACTGTGAGCATCACGAAGGCTGTGGGGGCTGTGGTGGAGCCGCACTAGAGGTGCCACCTTGGTTCTGGCTGTGCCACCTGTGCTGGCACCGATGGCTCTTCTGCAGCTGCTCGTCCTGCTGGCCCTGACCGGGCCCGTGTGGGGCTCCTGGGACACCTGCAGGTCAGTGGTCCCAGGCTCTGGGAGGGAGTTGGAGGAACACTTGGGGACTTCGCTGGCAGAACTGTGGGGAAAGACGCCCCTCGAGGTTCTCTGGCCCTGCTGCTCCTCAGCACTGGGTGGGACTTTCAGCCTGAGCGGCAGCAGAGCAACAGCAGCCACTGAGCAGGGCAGTGATGGTTCTGTGCTTCCAGAGGCACCTGTGGGCTCCGGCCCTTGGCTTCCGACCACAGCTCTTCAGATCTCGACTACAACTCCATGATTTCGGCTGCTGACCTGTCCCGTGTTGTGGCTGGCACGGGTGTCCAGCCAGGGGCCTGGCCCGGCATCGTCAGCATCCAGGCCACCTGGGAGAACGGCACGTGGCACATGTGCTCGGGTGTCCTCCTCAGCTCCCAGTGGGTGCTCACGGTCGCACACTGCTTCGCCAGGGCCGGGTAAGAAACGGCAGGGACAGAGATGTCCCCGGGGCTGGGGCAGGTGCCCAGCTCACAGCACCACGTGCCACTTCCCTGCCCGCCTTGGGAAGCAGAAGGCCGGGAAATGCTGGGCTGCTGCAGCCCATGGCTCTGCTCCCTGTCACCCCTCTGCCATCTGCTCCCTGTCACCCCTCTGCCATCTGCTCCCTGTGTCCATCTGCTCCCTGTCACCCCTCTGCCATCTGCTCCCTGTCACCCCTATGTCCATCTGCTCCCTGTCACCCCTCTGTCCATCCGCTCCCTGTCACCCCTCTGCCATCTGCTCCCTGTCACCCCTCTGCCATCTGCTCCCTGTCACCCCTCTGCCATCTGCTCCCCAGGGGCATCTCCATGTGGGAAGTGGTGATCGGGGCCTCGGATCTGAGCCAGCCGGGCCCCGAGGCCGCAGTGAGACACATCCAGAGGCTCCTGGTGCACCAGCACTACGTGCCTGCCACGGCCAGGAACGACATCGCCCTGGTGGAGCTGGACCGGCCCGTGGAGTGCAGCGACTACATCCAGCTGGGCTGCGTGCCCGACGCCTCCATCAGGGTCTCGGAGCTGAAATCCTGCTACATCGCCGGCTGGAACTTTGTCAGAGGTGAGCTCCCAACGGGATGTGTGCTTGAGGGTGAGCTGGGCACCCCGGGGGCACAGACAGGGACACAGACTGGGCACCCCGGGGACACGGACTGGGCACAGACAGGGACACGGACTGGGCACAGACAGGGACACAGACTGGGCACCCCGGGGACACGGACTGGGCACAGACAGGGACATGGACTGGGCACCCCGGGGACACAGACTGGGCACAGACAGGGACATGGACTGGGCACCCCGGGGACACAGACTGGGCACCCTGGGGACACGGACTGGGCACAGACAGGGACACGGACTGGGCACAGACAAGGACACGGACTGGGCACCCCGGGGACACAGACTGGGCACAGACGGGGACACAGACTGGGCACAGACAGGGACACAGACTGGGCACAGACAAGGACACGGACTGGGCACCCCGGGGACACAGACTGGGCACAGACAGGGACACAGACTGGGCACAGACGGGGACACAGACTGGGCACCCCAGGGACACGGACTGGGCACAGACAGGGACACAGACTGGGCACAGACAAGGACACGGACTGGGCACCCCAGGGACACGGATTAGGCACAGACAGGGACACAGACTGGGCACAGACAGGGACACAGACTGGGCACCCCGGGGACACAGACTGGGCACAGACAAGGACACGGACTGGGCACCCCGGGGACACAGACTGGGCACAGACAGGGACACAGACTGGGCACCCCGGGGACACGGACTGGGCACAGACAAGGACACGGACTGGGCACAGACAGGGACATGGACTGGGCACAGACAGGGACACAGACTGAGCACCCCGGGGACACAGACTGGGCACCCCGGGGACACGGACTGGGCACAGACAGGGCCCGGCTGCAGGACGTCAGCGGGGCCGGGCTCAGAGCAGCCCAGGCTGGGGAAGGAGTCCCTGCCAAGACCGGGCATGGAACGGAATGAGCTGTAAGGTCCCTCTCACCCAAACCATTCCTGCTGGCCCTGTGAAGCCTCGGGAGAGATGGATCTGGCTCCTCCCCCTGCCAACAGCAGGGACACAGCTGGGCAGCATCGCCGAGTTGGGGAAGGGGCAGAGACACAGCTGGGCAGCATCACTGGGTGGGGAAGGGGCAAGGACACAGCTGGGCAGCATTGCTGCGTGGGGAATGGGCAGGGACAGGCCCGGGAAGGGGGTTCACCCCAGGCAGGGAAGGGGATGGGTACCAAGCTGCTGGGGGCTCATTCACCTCTGTGCCCACAGCTCAGGGAACAGGCATGGTGCTGCAGGAGTCCAAGGTCCACCTCATGGACACAGAGCTCTGCAACAGCAGCCCATGGTATGCAGGGGCTGTTCATGCTGACAACCTGTGTGCTGGGTACCCACAGGGCAGCATTGACACCTGCCAGGTAAGAGTGTGTGATGAGTCCCTCAGCCCCCGACAGTGCAGGGACCCCCTCATCCCCCCTACACAGCCCAGCCTGTCCCCTGTCCAGCCCTCCCTTCCCAAAAGCAGTCCCCCACAGTCCCTGAGCCATCTCTCCTGGTACAGGGGGACAGCGGGGGTCCCCTCGTCTGCAAGGACAACAGAGCTGACTACTACTGGCTGGTGGGATTGAACAGCTGGGGAAGAGGCTGTGACAGAGCCAGGCACCCTGCGATCTACACCTCCACTCAGCACTTCTACAACTGGATCCTGCTCCAGACGGGCCTGAGCCCAGCAGAAAGAGCTGGTCCAGCACCAAAGCCAGTCATCACCTCGGCCCCTGAGGAGGAGCCTGAGGAACCAGAGGAACCAGAGGAACATATCAACTTGACCCCTGAGTACAGCCAGAGACCAGCAGTGACATCCTCGGGCACGTCACTGCCCATGGCATTCCCCCACCAGATCCTGGTGCAATTCCGGAATCTGCTGCAGGAGTTCCTGCAGTTTTGGAAGGACAAAAAAGCCTGAGCAGCAGCGGGATGAGCAGGATCCAGGGCTACAGCGGATCACAGCAATTCCTGCTAGGCCAAAGGTAGCCTTGGGGCCAGAGGCTTCTCTGTCCTGCCCATGCTGCTGCGCTGTGGCCACAGTGATGAGGTGTTGAAGTAAAGTTTCTGTGCTCACCATTAACCGTGTTTTCAGCCCTGCTCAGTGCACCTGCAGGCTCTCAGAGTCCCTGCTCTGTCTGTCCATCTGCTGTGCTGTTCACATTCATTCTTCAGCCCGGAGAGGGCTCCAAGGAAACCTCAGTGTCCCTTGCAGTGCCTGAAGCAGGTTATAGTAGTGGGGGAGAGCGGCTTTTTGCATGGGCAGGGCATGACAGGACAAGGAGGAATGGATTACATCTAGAGGAGGGGAGATTGGGATGAGGTGCTGGGAAGGAGTTTTTACTCAGGGGGCGACAAGGCCCTGGCACAGGGTACCTAGAGAAGATGTGGCTGCCCCTGAATCCCTGGAAGTGTCTAAGGCCAGGCTGGACAGGACTTGGAGCAACCTGAGATAGGTGGAAGGTATCCCTGCCCATGGCAGAGGGTGGAATGAGGTGACCTTTAAGGTCCCTTTCAAACCGAACTATTCTGTGATTCTGTGACTGTCTTAGAGTGTGTCTGTATCCAGCTCTCTGGAATGCAGCATCTTGTGCACAGACACACACACACACAGACCATGGCCATGGCCACATCCAACAAGCTGTGACAGAATCAGCCCCTGGGTGTGAGTCCACCTGCATCAGCTGTACGGACCTGGAAGGAGAAACCTGTTCTCAGCAGCCCCTGGGATCTGGGGCACTGGCTCAGCTGGGAGCAGGCTGGGCTGGCCTGTGGCCTTAAACCACCTGGGACCTGCCTCCTTATAGCAGCAGTGCGACGAGGATGCCATCCCATAGCTCTGTAAAAAATATCTTTTAGTGTTTGCTTTCTGCAGCATCTACCACTACAGCGCCTGGGCAGGATCCCTCCTGCAGGTCCAGGATGGCTCACTTCTCCTAGGCAGCTCTGTCCTGAAGGAGCAGTGGGAATGAACCACCATCCATGTGGAATCATGTGGGATTCTCCCAACCCTCTCCTGAGCAAAATGTGTAGCAGGGAGGGCCGAACCAATGAAGATCCTGCCCAGGTAGGCTCCCACAAGAAGGGAAGAGGCCCAGCTGCCCACCACAGCTCTAGGGCATGAGAAGCGTCACTGTCCTCCGTGCAGGCCTCAGAAGTCCAGAGCCAAGGGGAAAACAGGCTCAGGGGCCAGGCCTAGGCAGATGAGGGCTCCTCTTCAGTGCAGCTCTTCTCTTTATTTGACAAATCCTTGCTTGTGTTCTGCAGGTCAAAGCTCTGGAAAGGAGCAGGACAAGGAACTGCTGAGAAATGACACAGATTGCAACAACTGTATCTGCTGTGGCTCTTTTAGACTCGGCCTAGGGCAGTGAGAGCTCTTGTGATGGTTCCCACTTTCCCCCTCCCAGCCCAGACGGAGCAGCACACAAAGCCCAGCAGAGAGCAAAGCTTCCCATGCTGCACACAGGGGAAAGAGGGCAGAACTGCTCATCCGACAGGACTCAGGACGGAGCAGGGACAGAGCCTTCCCTACCTCCAGCTCCCGCAGGACCTCGTCCATGAAGTCTCCTGAGTGCTGTTTGTAAGCCACGGCCAGTCTGATGGCGTCGTTGAAGAGCTGGTGGGAAGGACAAGGCCCGTCACTCACGGGATGGGGCACATGGGCATTGGGTTTCTGTAGCAGACGGAGACTGTTCCCACATCCCAGGAGAAAAAAACCCTCTGCAGCTCTCCATAGCCACCAGCCTCTCATGTGGAGCTGAAATGATGGACCATTTCCTACTCTCTGTCCCTACAGCAGCCCCCACGTCCCTGGGCTGCCAAGGGGCCTTGTGGACAGCAAGCCCAGCAGTCAAACGCCCATCTCACCTTCACCACGTTGGTGCCGTCGGCAGCAGACACGAAGTAAAAGGGCAAACTGAATTTCCGGGCAAAATTGAAGCTTTTCTGGGTCACCTTCATATCCGCTGAGGCAGACAAAGAAGACATGGTCAGTCAGACATGGCAGGAGGTCCAGAGGGTGGGTGTCTTGTGTGTGACACATCAGCCCCTGCTGAGCCAGACAAGCCACAACCCTGTGCCAGCAATTGCCAAGGGCTGGCTAGCATTCCCCATGGGAGGGAACCTTCCAGCCTCCTGCAGAGCCGGTGAACAGTTCTGGTGAACAGCAGGTACATTGAGACACCTCAGCACAGAGGAGTCTGTGCAGGCTGAAGGAGCACCAAGGCCATCCCTGACTGATCCAGGGGAGCCACAGAACAGCTTTTGCTTCCTTTTGCTGCCATTTTTGGCCAGGTGTTTGCTTTCTGCAGCATCTACCACTTTTGGGTTCTTGATGGATAGAATAGGCAGTGTGGTAAGGACAGAACTGGAAGAAAAATGCTTGAATAAAATGAAATGGATGAAATTTGCACTTTTAATTGCTGGTGACACAGGACAAGAACCTGTGAGACAGCAGCTGAGGTCAGTACAGGACTCAGCTCCGCGGGACTGAGGAAATCCTCTGGACCAAACAGACAAGGGACACTGGCTCTCAGTGAGGGCAGGAGTGAATCCCACCACGACCCTGGCAAGCTGGGAGCCAAAGGCACACTCACCATCAATCTTGTTGGCCACTACAATGCACGGAATCTCTGGGCGGAATTCCCTCAGCTCCTTGTACCAGCTGTTCAGGTTCTTGTAGGTGACCTTCCGCTGCACATCAAACACCTTCCAAGAGAGAACCACCTATCCCAGGGCCAGCCCAGCACAGCTGACTGCCCCAGGACAGCACTGACCAGTCTGTGCGGCCAACCCAGGACAGCTCTGACCAACACAAGGACAAAATCCAGAGAAGACAAGACAAAGGGAATTGGGCATTATTAGAAAGGGTGAAGGAGAAAGGGACAGTATCGCCAAGCCCAGCCAGCAGGAAACACCCCTTGATTTCCTTTCCACTGTCCTGTGTCCTGTGCAAGTCCCTGCCACCCACACGGGGAGCTGGCACTGGGAACACTGTGCGCCAAGCAGGATCAGATGTGGCCTCCTCTGTTCTGACAACTAAACCACCAATGAAAATCACTGGTGGAACAATGGAAAGTGAGAGCAACAGGACAAACCAGGAGATCTGAGCAGGAGAGGAGCCAACAAAACTGGCAACAGGGGCAAACATCAGGACACTGAGAAGAAAGCAGAGCCAGGGGATAGAGGAAAAGTGTTACCGGGAGAGTCAGACCAGAGCTAACAGCTCCATCTACAGGGGGTTTATCGGGTGAGAGAAGAAAGAACAATCTAGGAAAGTTTTATAAACCACTGGAAGAGACAAGGAACACACAGCAATGTAACCAAAAAGTAACACAAAGGCCAGGTGTCACTGAGACCATTCTGCGCCCAAATTCCATGGTCCAGCTGAGACCCCTCACCATGATGCAGGCATGGGCCTGGTGGTAGTAGGAGGCATGCATGCTCCGGAACCGCTCCTGGCCCGCCGTGTCCCAGAAGTCTGTAACACAAACATTGCTCAGAATGACACAATTGCTGAGTGCTGTTCTTCTCACAACTTAAACCCAGGAGGCAAAGCCCAGCCCACCTGCTCAGGGATACGAACTGAGCTTCACCTCACCAATCTGAAACACCTCAGGGTTAAGAAATTGTGCCAAACTGGGACCTTTACTTACTGGGCTCAGCTATCAACAAAGGAGAAGCCAGCAGTGACATGAGTTGTGTGGGACAGCAGGACCAAAACAGGCGGAAGTGCACAGAGCAGTAGCCATGTCTGGCACTCTGTCACTTAGGGATGGCAACGGGAAACTACCTAAAACATCAGGAACTGCTGGACACTGATGGTTTCTGACCCAGTGATGGCCAGCCGGGGCCCTGCCTTGGGAAGTGCTCCAGCTCCTCTCGCAGATATCTGACTCTGCTGTCCCAGGGGCAGAAATCATTCTGAAATGCTGAAAGTAAGGCTGCCAGAAGCAAACAGGTCCCAGTTCATGAAGTTCTGTGTACACCAGATATCATGGAGCAAACCTGGATACAGCTGTGCCTTTTGCTGTTAGTGCAGCTCAGGTGGAGATCCCCCACCTCTCACTGGGTTTGCAGGTTCACATCTGGCTCTGGCTTGCTGTATTAATTGTCACAGCTTCAGTTAAACACCTCAGTGTAGTCACACCTCTTGTCAGCTGGACCCAGAGCCAAATGAGCCAGTTTCCTTAGGGATTCCTTTGCACTGATACTGTGACAGGACTCTGTGTCAGGCCTACTGGACAGTGACTTTCTTAAACTGCCCAAATAGAGACATGTCCCCACCAGACCACATTTGCATTCAATGTCTGTGTCACAACAAAGATGTTGAGCACTGTCAGCCCCAACCTCAATGAACCATGACCAGTGGCTCCATGCGGTCATCCACCCCATTCTTTATGCTCTGACTGTCCACCCATCCATCCATCCCCTGTCTCTCCAGCTCGGAGTGCAGGACATCGTGGGAACAGTGCCCTACATTTTCCCAAGCCCCAGGATATGATGGCAGTCACTTTGCCCCATCCACCAACGCTGCAGCCCCGTCCCAGAAGGGCACCAGATTTGTCGCGATGCCGCTGTCTATCAAAACACATAACCGAGACCCAGACCGAGGGGATCTGCACTTCCCGGCCGTTCCCTCTGCCACGGCACCGCATGTCCCGGGCCGGCCCCACTCACCCACGCGGACCTCCTGGCCGCCCACGCGGGCGCGGTGCTGGTACAGCGTCAGCGCGAAGGTGGAGAGCTGCTGGGGGCGGCTGCGCCGCGTTAAGGAGCGCACCGAGAGCCGCGGAGCCCGCGGGCGGGCCGGGCCCGCCGCCGCGCCGCCGCGCCGCCCCGCTCCCCCGCTGCCAAGGATACAAGCCATCGAGCAGGAACCGCTCCAGCAGCCTGCGGAGAGACACGGGCCGCCGTCAGCCGCGGCACCCGCCGCCCGCCCGCCCGGCTCCGCGGGGCCCCCGCCCGAACCCGCGCCCCACGCACTTGGACTTGCCCACGGCGCTGTCCCCCAGGCAGATGATCTTCACCGTCTGCTCCGCGCCGGCCGCGGCCTCGTCCCGGGCCCCGTCCGGGGCTTCCTCCGGGACCGCGGCCCGGCCCTGCTGCTCCGCCGCCGTCGCCATGGCAGCGCCTGCGCGGCCCGTCCGCCGCGCGACGCGACCTGGCCCCGCCCCGGGCCCGCCTCAGCCCCGCCCCGCTCCGGGCCCGCCTCGCCCCGCCCCGCCCCGGGCCCGCCTCAGCCCCACCCCGCCCCGGGCCCGCCTCAGCCCCGCCCCGCCCCGGGCCCGCCTCAGCCCCACCCCGCCCCGGGCCCGCCTCAGCCCCGCCCCTCCCGCCCCGCCCCGCCCCGGGCCCGCCTCAGCCCCGCCCCGGGCCCGCCTCAGCCCCGCCCCGGGCCCGCCTCAGCCCCGCCCCGGACCCGCCTCAGCCCCGCCCCGCTCCGGGCCCGCCTCGCCCCGCCCCGCCCCGGGCCCGCCTCAGCCCCGCCCCGCCCCGGGCCCGCCTCGCCCCGCCCGCCCCGGGCCCGCCTCAGCCCCGCCCCGCCCCGGGCCCGCCTCAGCCCCGCCCCGGGCCCGCCCCGCCCCGCCCCGCCCCGCCCGGCGCATGGCGGCCATGGCGGCCCCCGCGCGGCCGCTGCAGCTGACGCTGGCGCTGCTCAAGCCGGACGCGGTGGCCCATCCGCTCGTGCGCGAGGTGAGGGCCGGGCCGGGCACGGCACGGCACAGCACGCCTCGCCACGACCCCCCAGCGCCGCCTCTTCCCGCAGGCCGTGCATGCCGCCATCCTCCGTCACCGGTTCCTCATCGTGCGCGCCAAGGAGCTGCGGTGCGGCGCGGAGCAGAGCCGCCGCTTCTACCGGGAGCACGCAGGTACGAGCAGGCTCCGGGTGCCCGAGCGGGATGCTGCCCGGGCCGGCGCCGACTCGGCCCATGTCTGTCCGCAGGGCGTTTCTTCTACCGGCGGCTGGTGGAGTTCATGGCCAGGTACGAGCCGCGGGTGCGCGGGACGGCCCGCGCTGCCGTGGCGAGGCTGCGGAGGGCTCGCCGGGCTGTGCGGAGCTGGGAGGCTCCGGCCGCGGCGGGAGCAGTGCCGGGATCGCAGCCTGCCGTGACAGCGGTGGCGCCTGGCGGGTGGCACCCCGAGGGTGCCGGAGGTCATCGTTCCGAGTAGGGCAGCAGTGCCAACGCCGCCGCGGTGGGAGCGCGCCCCTCCCCATGGCACGGCAGGGCAGCCAGGGCCCAGCGCGGCAGCCCATGTCGGCTGTACCGGGCAGGTTTGTAATGATGAACAACCTGTTTGAAATGAGCTCTTCATGATCTTTCTCCTGCTGTTCCTGGGCCCTTGCTGCAGTGGTCCCATGTGGGCTTACATCCTGGCCCATGAGAATGCTGTCCCTCTCTGGAGATCCGTGATGGGGCCCACTAAAGTGTTCCGAGCCCGACACAGCCACCCAGACTCCATCCGAGGTGCCTATGGCCTTACGGACACCAGGAACACCACCCATGGCTCAGGTAAGCCTGGCGTTCTTGGGTGGTTCTTGGGGAGGCAGGAATGATGGTGCTTTGTCTGCCTTTGCTGTAGTTCTGGGGCTCAAAGTGAGTGATTTGTTCCTTTCTGCACACCCCGTGCACACCCAGCCAGGTGCAGCTTAGCCAGGCACCTTTGGAGTCTGGCATGTGTTGTGGTGGCAGACTGGCAAGTCTCTCGCATTGCCTTTCCCTCTCTTTTGACAGACTCACCTGCCTCAGCCAGCAGAGAAATTGCCTTTTTCTTCCCCGAGTTCGACGAGCGGCGCTGGTACGAGCAGGACGAGCCCCAGCTGCGGCGCGGGCAGCTGTTCTACAGCGCCGAGGAGGGCGTGCACCGTGTGCTGCGGGCACAGCAGGCACAGGTGACCTGAGTTACCCTGGCAGGCTGTGCTTTGCTGGCCGGCAGCACCTGTGGGCACTCTCCTGGGGTGCCAGACGCAGAGCTGTGCTGAGTTTTGAGGAGCACGGGAGAGGGAAAGCCTCGTGTGCGTTGTGTGGCCTGGGATCAGGTTACCCCTGTAACGGGCAGATGCTGGGGTGCTGCAGGAAGAGTTCCCTCAGCAGTGCTCGTGCTGACAGTCTGGCCATGCAGCTCACTGGCCCCTCAGTTTGGGTGTGAACAGGACAGATGGTGAGTAGGTCAAGGGCCAGGTGAAGGATAGGCTGCTTGTTCCAGATGGAATTGGCCTGGGTTTGCTGATGGGAAGCCTCAGATTCTCCCCGCTGGCTGTTCCTGCAGTCCCTTAGGGAGAAAAGAAGGAAAAAGAGCGTGAAGAAAGATTTCAGCAGGGCAAGGTGAACTGTCCTGTCCTTGCTCACCTGCAGCTGGGCTGGGAAATGAGGAGCTTTGTCAATAGCTCTGCATGTGAGAGCACTTGGAGCCCTCAGTGTCCACAGCCTGACTGGGTGCCGGGGCAGTTCTGTGACCTTGGGAAATGGGATGAACAAAGCCATTGAATTACCCAGCTATGTGGTGGAACGATGACAGGGTGGTGCTGGAGGGCTTGGTTGGGAGGTACAGAGCCGGGTCCTGGTGGCTGATTCGTGTTTCTCTCTGTGATGCTGCATAGATGCATTCCTGGATGGGGTTTCAGTCCATTTATGCTGTCTCCCTACGGGCTCCTTGCAGTGCTGCCATTTTAGTTACAGTGTTGTGTTGGAATTTCATTTGGGCAGTCCCAGATGCTTGGGCTGGGGAAGGTGTGCTGTGCTGTGCTTGGAGCAGGAGAGCTGAGCCGAGATTCGCCAGAGCCCCGGTACATGACAGAGCCAAAGCAGGGCCTCCAGGTGCTTCCAGAACTCCGTCAGGTGTTGGGTAGTGACTGACTGACTCTCTGGTGGACAGCACTGCCCAGGGCTGCCGTGGCTAAACTCACCTTGGTTTGTGTTCCCTCCTCCTCCTGCCTGGATCAAATGGTCGTTGTTCTGTTCCAGGTACAGACCCCGGGATCTGCAGGGTGTCACTGCTGTCCCTGTCCTCAGCAGTGTCCAGAGTGGATCTGCTCAGGATCCTGTGTGTCTTCACACAAGTCTGAGAACTGCTGTCCCCAGTGCTGTTGATACTTTATTGATATTTTGTCAGATGTTTTATTGATTCCTTGAAGTTTTGCTCAGATCTGTGTGTTTTTCTTTTAGCTATTAAACTTTACTATTTTTCACCTTTCTTTATGTTATGCTTTCTGTTTTGGATATTCCTTGGGAATGTCATTAACCGATAATTCCTGTCTCACACATGCCATTTTTGAAGTTTTGGTCTTTTTTCCTACTCACTTGCAATGGTTACACTTGGGAAAAGGGCCCTTTTGAACATTGCCAGTGTGGAGAACTCTGCCAGCAGGATTGTCACAGTGACACTGCCTCACAGCCACCGTGGTTCAGGTACCTGCTGGGTGGCACCTTGACATTGCCCTGGCCCTGAGGCTGTACCTGAGCATAGGTGCTCAGACTAGGCATCCCATTGCCCCAGACAGAGGATTTATTGTGCGAATCTAAAGCTGTCCAGCAAACTCATCAGAGACCTGAGGCTGAAGCACTTGGTGTTTGATGCAGGAGAGAGTGTCAAAACTGATTTTTGGTCTCCAGGGAAGTCTTATGGAATGCCACAGATAACTCTGCTTTGAGGGCTCTTATCAAAGTGGGTTTGTTTTGTTTCGGGCTTTTGTTTTCCCCATTTTCTTTTTCCCTTCCTTGTAAATACCCAGTAAGTGATTTTTTGCTTTTCCAGTGATGCTTGCCCCATCCCTGGCAGTTTCCTGGGCTGAGCTGGATGTGCCTGGAGCAGCTTGGTGTAGTGGGTGACATCCCTGTTCCTGGCAGGGGCACGGAGCTGGATGAGCTGTATGGTGCCACCCAGCCGAAGCCATTCCATGCTGAAAGGTGTGTGTTACAGCAGTAAATCAGTCTCCCCGTTGGTCTCAAACTGAGACAATGTGGCACCAGGGCAGTTTGAGATCCCTGGTTTTTCCTGGAAGCTGCAGGTGCCTGGCCCACCTGTGGGGTCTGTGCGCAGGGTTGGTCACAGCTATGTGTCTGCAGCAGCTTCTGCCCCTGGTGCTGCTGCAAAGCACTGCCTGGGGCATGAGGTCCAGCTCAGGCACCCCTCAGGTGTGGAGCTGGGACAGGTGACTTCGGGCCTAAACTTGATCTGCTCTTGGAAGAATTGAGCAGGTTTGTGTCAGCACTGGAGGGGACAAAATGGCTTGACCTGGGAAGAAGGGAAGGAAAGGCTTCAGAGGGAAATCAGTGCTGATCCCAGTCCAGGCCTGGCCTCAGTCCCTGCCACCATGGGCAGAACCCTCTCAAATTGAGGAATTTCACTTGATTTATTGCTGTAACACAAAATTTTAGTTACTGATTCAGATACCGAGGAAAACACCTTTCCTCTACTTTCCCAGGTTCATCTTCAGTCCAACATCTTTTCTCCCCTCTTTCCCTGCAGATTCTGCCTAGTCTCTCCCAGTCCCTGGGGGAGGTGACACGGTGCTGGGGCTGGGCTGGGCTTTGCTTTTCTACTTGTTTCTTCCTCTTTCCTTCTTGTTTGCTCACTCGTGGCTCACCCACAGGCTTCAGTCCCTCAGGTGTGTACCTGCTCCAGTGTCGTCCCTCCCTGGGCTGGTCCCTTCAAGGAGAAATGGGCCAGTGGGAATTTCATGAAGTTTCTAGAGGAAAACACCGTGTCCTGCATCTGGGCAGGGATGTTTCCATTTGCCAAGACTCACGTGAGGGACCAGAGAAGCATCTGGCTGTCCTGATGGCCATGAGCCACCCCTGAGTCAGCAATGCACTTCATGGTCTGACAGCATCCTCGGGTGGGGGAGCCATAGCACTTGCCCATAGGTTACCCCCATCCCCTCCTGGGGCACAGGTAAGGCAACATCTAAGCACTGGCACCAGTTTTGGACTCCCCAGTGCAAGACAGCCTTGTCAGAACTGGAGTCCAGCATGGATTGATTAGGACATCTGAGAATCTGACAGGTAAGGAGAGGCTGAGGGCTGGGGCTGCTCAGACTTTGGAGCTCTGTGGGGTTTATCAATGGGTAGAAATACTGGGTATGAGCAGTGAAGGGAACCTCAGGTGTCCCAGGAATGGACACAAGGCAGTGGAAACGACCTGCAAACTGGCAATTTCACTGAGACCTAAAAACCCCTCTTGTATTGTTTTTGTACTCCAAGGGTGATAAAATAAGGTCAGGAGCCCCTGTGCCAAGGCAGAGCTTTGGCCTCCACACCCTCCAGAGCTTTCTGTGCTCCTGGGCAGGTGTGGACCCCAGGGTGTTCATGCCACGTGGGCACCTCAGCAGCAGGTCAGGCCTCTTCTTCCTCCAGCATGGCCATAATTCCTACCGGCCCCACCTGGGGGGCTCTGTTGCTGTTCAGTATTTCCCTCTCTGCAGCTGATCTGTGTTGGAGCCTTGGATGCTGAGAATTTTAAACTTTTTGTGCTGAAAGGCACAGACCCACAAGAGAACACTGCATTTGACCTGAGGTGTGGGAACCCAGCACATCCCTCTGGCTGCCCTGGCTATCTCTAGACCTTGGCAGGGGCTTTGAGACCTTGGCAAGGAGTCAAAAACACCTGTGGCTTGGATTTTAGCCCACGGAAAACATGGACAACTTTGTATGAGAAATTAAAAGCCACAAGGGTTTGAGTAGTGTGGTAGTTTAATTAACACAGGGTGAAAAAGTAGAATTTTAGGGTTTTAAAACAAGCGGTTCAAGGGGACAAGATGGAGGGATTTGGGCGTGTCCTGACCTTCTTCTCCTTCTTCTTGCCCTCTATGTCTTGCTGTGATGGTGACACTTTTCTACTGGTTGAAGGTAGAGACACGCTGTCCAACATAAATGATAGATATTGGCACGTTAATGTAAACATAGTACACGTAGTTTAGTCTAAAATGGTAACACTACTCCAAGGGGGTGGGAATCTGCTGCAGACTGACCTGCTAGACAGAGTGCAGCTCCTTGAGAAAGCATGTTATAGATAAGAGAAAATAACCTTGAGAAGCCGACCCTATGCGTTCCAAATTCTTCTTTGGCTGCGCGGGCTGGGAAGTGAGGACCTTTGCCTTCTTGGGGTCACCTTGACTGCCAGACCCCTGAGACTGAGGCTGTGGAGAAGGCTTCCAAAATTGATTGATAGCCCTGGGATTATGGGTGTGTAGATTAGAAGTGTGTAATATCACACACTTCTAATCTACACTTAGAGTTTAAGATTATAGAATATAGTGATATATATAGAACAAGATGGAGGTTTTAGGGCAGAGACTGGTCCTTCTTCACTTTCTTCCTTCTTCATGGGTTTGGGTGGTATTGTGTAATTGGACAGAAAAGTCCACATTGTGGGACATGAGGGATTAGTTATTGGGTTAAAAGTGAAAATAATCTATGTGTCATTTCTGAATTGGATATTTAGCCTTAAAAGATCTTGTATAGAAATGTAGTTGGCCATTCTATAGCTTGTTAGTAGAATGCTGTAGAACTCAGGACTTGTAATAAAAAAATATATACACCTGAGTCTGAACATGAAATACCATCTCGAGCAGTTCAATTCCAACCTTGACAGAGGCAGAAAAGAAGCCAAGAACCAGCAGATCTGCCTTTTCCCAACAGCCTGTGTCCTGCTTTTCCCAGGTCTGGGGACAAGGAAAAATAGATACCATGGAAATAAAGACAAATTAGCCACTTCAGTGCTGGCTGCACTTGTCTCTGCTAAAGCTGCATCTCACTGTACAGAGATAAAGACAAGGATGTTGTAGGTGGCCAAAGATTTTGTGGATTTGATCTTGTATCAGGCTGTGGGTTCTCACATGGAAAAGACAAGGAGCCTGGGAAAGCAGCCACAGAATCAAATCACAGACAAACAGAAGTAATGGTGTTCAGGGAAGGCTGTGCCAGAGAAGTCCAATCCATCCCACGCTGAAAGTTTCAAGGAATTAGCAAACAGTCATCTCAGATTTGGGGGTCACAACCATATTGTCCACAGTTTTCCCACAGAGCTGCTGTACAAAGCAGGAAGAACAAAGAGTGAGAGAAACACCAAACTGCAGAAAAAAAATCTTCAGAGGTTGGGACTGTTTTCTCCCTAGCACAGAAAATAAACGTTCTCCTCATGCCCCAGACAGGCCAAGCATGGGCTGGATCTGGACACTGACCAAATGTAACTTTGAGCTTGAGATGGTGCCACAGAGCAGGAAAACCCCATGACAGACCAGAGTCCTGTCTACACAGACAAGCCATCCACATGGGTTCCTCCTCACCTGTGTCCAACAGCCACATCTCTGTCAGACACTGTCCAAAGCCCTGGCAGGCTCCAGGAAGAACCAGTTTTCATCTCTCCATCAGATCCCAATCCCAATTATCAACATGTCCAGGACTTGATTGGCCCTTCCACTCACACATGACTATTGAGTGCTTTTATTAGCCAGATTTCCTCATTAATGCTCCCCTGCCTTCCAAAACATTCCAGATAAACAAAACGCAGTTCTATATCTCCCACAGCACCCAGGGAAAGTTAAAATCCAACAGTTGTGCAAAGCAGCTGCTGCTGGAGCTGAATATTTAAATTTAATGTGGGGCTGTGTTGACCCTTTCCAGAGAACAGATGTTTTATGGAACTCTTTAGAAATCCATCCCTCCCCTGAGTGCAAGGAGAGTTTTGGAAGCAATGGGAGGGATGAGTTATGGTGACAGCACTGTTGGAGTGCCTGTGCAGTCCTGGAGCAGTTCCTGCATGCAGCAGCAGCCATGGTTCAGCGTTTCCCAGTCACATCGCTGGGTACCTGCACAGGGACAGCAGGCAGGAGAAGTTTAAACATTGGACAGAAGGAGAACACCAGAAAAATGTGAGATTGTGGCAGCACCATCCATCACAAAACTAAGCTGAACCAGAATTCAGATTATTGTTTCTGTTATTTTGCGACACAAAGGTTGGAGGTCAGATTAAGCAACCAAAAATCTTTGTGATAGAGAAGAATAGGCCTGAGGCAAGGCCCAGGTCTCTGGTTTCAGCTTGGTCTGTACCCACAGATCAGGGATGGGAAAGGGGCAGCAAGGAGAGAAAAATGAGATAAATTGTGTTAAATTGAACCCTTTGGAAGTTAAAAATCAGAGATGACTCAGCACAGGACCAAGAGGCACCTGAATGACTCAGGTCACGTATGAGGT